TTCGGTGACTTACATTGGGTTTGGGTTTTTTTTTTCCTCCCATGCTTATTTACTTGGCAATGTTATGGTATGCTTCCATTTATAAAATTAAAATTAAAAAAAATTAAACTTCTGTCTTTAAAAATGGCAACTGAATAAATAAAGCACAAACAGACAATAAACATGAGTGGAAGAAAATCAGATGCGAAACAGCGATGCAGAACAGTAAGTTCCACAGATGACCCCCTGTTTTGCTCTTTGTCAGCCAACACTTTCTTCCCCTCACATCTGCCGTTAGCCTCAGGACTGACCTGGCCCAGTGCAATGCCATACGCCTTATTCCTTCCTGAAGATTTTTTTTTTAATGACTTCTTTCTTCCTGTTGCTGTGACAACTCTAGCTCTTCTCTAACCTAGCAGACTCTCAGTGAAACTAAGAATGAATCTATCCCGAGGAATCTGTGAAGCAAACAATGGAAAAAAGTACCTAGTATCTAGTCTGCCTGGGACTAACAAATATTCCGAGAGAAAGATTTGGTTAGAATCTGAACATCCCATATTTTCAAATGAAGGGAAAACAGGACAGCCGAGGCTCTACTTCAGTGATCTCTGAACAGAAGAGGAGAACAAAAGCTGTTGCTGCCATTTGCATTTGTGCACAATGTCTCAAGAACACCTGGCTCAGGGGATGCTCTTCAAAGCAATGCCCACATTCACCTTCCTAAGCAGAGGGAAGCGAAGCAGTAAAATATGGGGATTTCTCAAGTATTCTTTAAAAATCCTAACAAATTAAAACAAAACAAAAACAAAACAAGGATGAGTGCACACCATGTAAATGGTAGTCCCTTTCCATGAGGAACACACTTAACAGAGAGGAGAAACACATTTTGTGAAAAGATATTTTAAAACAAACTTCACAGAGCAAATCCCCGAATGCAACTTCGTGACTTCAGACTGAACCATCAGCGCAATTTTGTCTTTCCCCAGAAGATGAAGCCACTACTTCACCTGGTACAACACCGTGGTGAGAAACACCACGCGCTACCCAGGACTTCTCCAGCGCTTTCATTGGCCTCAATGGGTGTAACACTGCTGCACCACAGCCTGGTGCAGAAACATCCCAAAGTCACCTTCCCAGCCAGCTGCATGACGTCACAGAACATCCATCATCGCCTCTGGATGTACAGAAAGAAAAGCCACCGTATGCTAGAGCCCTTAATATTTGAGAATGCAAAGAAATAAAGACTTCCTCACGTCATAAGGTCTTTTTAAACAGCTTTATAACAATGCATACACTTAGAAAGAAAATGTAACCCTCATCGTATCACACTGCTAAAACAGGGTGCGCACAAAGTGCTTTGCAGAAGCTGTGCAGCATCTATTCCACATGGAAGCACCAGCCTTACTCACCCTTAACAGGCACTCTCTCCTGTGCTCGTGCACGCGTTCACTCATCGTGAGCCGTATTTATATTTGGAAGTTCAACACACTGGATGGGGCAGCAGCCTGAGCCACTGTGCACTCTTACCTGAACACACCTGGGCAAATACAGGCAAGCTATTATTTACTGTAAATAAACAGTAAATAATTATAACATCCAACAACTGTCAGATTAATTTAGATCAGCAGTAGAATTTTGTCAAACATACCGTGCTTCACTAGGGAGCTTTGTTCATGAGTCCCTTTGACTAAAGTGTCTTTGTGGGCAAATTGTGAGAGCATAATTTAAAAAAAGTCAGAAAGAAATGGGCTATGGAATCAAATTTAAGCCATTAAGTGTGTTCGCTTTTCCTAGTTCAGCCTATCCATTACCTACTGTTGTACTCCTTACACTAGAAAATCAAAGGAGCACCTAAAGCTGGTAACGTCCGCAGCACCTCCACATGAAGGACATCTATGCAGACTTCCAGTGCACTGGGATGGTGCTCAGCCCTCTCAGCATGAGGCTTTTAGCAACCTTACACTGCAGAGAGAGGGACTTCCACAAAGTATTGAGGATTTCTGACCGTAAGACTGGCCTGATACTCTTCCATTGAGGTCCTCAGACTTCTAGAGCTTGCAGCAATGGTCTGAGCTGGAAAAACCCTTTCCAGAGCTGATGTGGAGAGAGGTGGTTTTCTGCACTCACAGCTGGGCTCACAGTACTACAGAAAGGAAATAAAAGCATGAGAGATGACTATGGAAATGAACATTAATGGTTACTATTAACATTATTTAGCTTCAGTTAGAATGAACAACAAGACAACAATTATACATGAAAAATTAGCTTTTATTACAAATGTTTAGTAATAAGTAATGATTGTTCAAAAATTTTTTTTTTTTTACTTACTAAACCTAAACATAGAAAATCAGAAGCAAACAAGAAATTGCTTGGTTAAAAATCTTTCTGAAGGTTAACTTGTCAGTAGTTCTATCAGATTTCCTGCAAGGCTTGCTTTTAAAATGCCTTCTTTATTGTACTGTCAGCTTTGCTTTACAGAGATGCTCATCCTCCAGTAGAGATGTGTAGTCATCAACATGCATGATTTGATTCATTTATACAAACAGAAGAAAGAAAAAAAATAAGTGGTGTCCATCTCTCAATATAAACTCTATTTCTATATGTTACGCTTGCACATAATTTAGAGCCTGATACAGCGGCTTCTGAAGCCAAAGACAGCTCTTGCACTGACTGCAGCGTGTGCCGTATCACAAGCGCGACATTATCAATTTCATAGTAATTGGCGAAAGTATTCTTTGGTCAGAATGTCCTGCATCTACCCAGTTCACAGTATCTCAGAAACTATTTTTCACCTATTTTAATAGCTTGTTTACGTTTTTATTTTATTGCATGGCTTTCAGGTTTTTCTCCTGCATGTATAATCCATACCTGCGTGCATGCACGTGCATAAAATTTACTCAAGTTGTTTCAATGCAGACAGATCAGGAGCGAAGAAAGGATGTCCTTTATCTTCTGATACCTTTCAGATGCCAGACTGCAACAGCTCTAGTCTAAAACGGCCTTTTACTGGAGTCCCTCTGGATAGGCAATTCATCTTTAGTGCACTGCATTACTACAGTTTTCAGAACACACAAAATATGAAAATTGTGATAATTTTTTTACATTGTCTGTTACACTGTAAAGCCACGTCCTTCAGAAATCACAGTCTCATTTTTGGTGGGAAAAGTTTAAGAGGTAAGGGAAAAGAAAACTGTTAATGATGCAAGCAAGAGAATCTGGACAATGACACTTTGCTTAAAAGGCACACCAAGAAAAGGCAAGCTAGGTTCCTCTCCTGATGGTTTAAATCTGGTTTATATTTTTTCTTATAAATATAGATCTGCATATATATGTGTGTATACCTACACAAATATAGGCACGCACACACACTTTTGAGATTTTGAGAACAGAAAGTTCAAGAGTTAGAAACTCATGTTCAATAAATAAGAACCATACTAATAGGGGGAGGCTGGTGCTGCTATTTTTTGCTGTGTTATGTTTATAATCTAATGACATGGTGATATGATTATACCATTTTTACTTTACATCATTTCATTGTATAAATGTGAGGCATAAGACAACAAGGTGCATTTAGCTTGCCTAAAGTAATTTTCATGGATCTTCTGTGTTCTTGCTTTTTCATTAAGGGATGGTCATTACTTTAAGAAATATGAAGAGAGTTGAGGGTAAGGATGTTCTAACAATCACAATTAAAATTTATTTGACTTTGGGGTTTACATGTTAGAACGTGGTGTGCACGCAAACACCCACACACAGATGACACAGACAACAGTGGCTGTACACAGCTCACACCCAAGCATGGTCCCAGCGTGGCTGTCATAGGCTGATCTTGTAAAAACTTTGTTTTCCTTTTGCATAAGCTTTACGATACAATGCACTGTTTCCAAAATCTGTACTGTTCCGTCCAAATGGTCCACGTATGATGATGACAAATGTTAAGAGGTATGAGATGATTACTAACTTCCAGAAAACATTTATCAGAGGATGCCCATACAGTAGTCACCATTAGAAGTTTAACAGCTGAAGTTTGAATGTGAAGATCTTTTCAGCTGTATTGTTTAAAGAAGTATGACTATCACAGTAAAGTTATTTACACAAAAGGCAACAATAGTAAAGATAACAACAGAGAACACAGTAGATTGTTCAGAAAGTGGATCACATTTTCTGCTAAGTCTGAAATATTCCTTGCAATGCTGTAAATTCTGCCTACTAGATATCCCACAATATAAACCAGACCGAAGAACTTGTAAAAAGATATTAAAAGTTTGGTCCTGCATTTCTGATTCCCAAAAAAATCTACCACAGAAGACCACAGGAATTTTGAATGTTTACCAATCGCAGGACAAAACCCTCAGAGGACTGCAAAACGTTGTGTCTTTTCAGTACTTATTATATATAAAGTACTCAAATGTTTTTCTTTGGCTTTTAAATTACTGTCCTTTCGTATCTATAATGCGAAACCAAACCAAACCCAAACCACTACTAACTCCTCTCTCCCCTCAAAACAGTGATAAAAATTAAATGAACCAAAAAACATATGTAGAAAGTGTAGCTGTTACTTCATTATAAAAGTACGGTGCAAAATAGAGGTTTATACTGGTCAGAATTGCAATAGCAATTGGAAATTTACACTGAAGGAGTGACTGCAAGTGTTGCTTCTCCTGAAGCACAGAAAAATCAAAACTAATTAGGCACTTGTTTTCTTGTTTAATGAGCGATCATTCAGTGTGCGTAAAAATGATAGAAATACTCTCTAGAAGAATGTTCTGTCGCGTAACAACTGTATTGCTCAACTACAGCCACAGTCCCTGGTTCAGGAGAGCAGAAAAACATGTGCCTATTACTTATTTTATGCTTAAATCCTACTGATACAAACGGGATGGATACATGTTCAAGTGCTGTCCTTGACTGGGATGCTCGCTGAAATTGGAGTTTTAAATTATAATATAGTGGTGAGCTGCTTTCCATTATACTACAATATGAATTTTATCTAATCTGGCTCTGCTCTCCACAATATTACCCTAGTACTTCCCAAGAAAAAAGAAAACAGGCATAAAATAAATAGGATAACCAAAGATTACATAATAAATATGTTACTAAGTGGGAGGAAAATATATTGCAACATAAGGCTCTGTAGTGTTGCACAATCAAGAAATTGTTCCAGGTGCTCCAAAATACAACTCCTAATGTACAACACCAAGTTACCACTATACACCTGAAAAAGGCTGGGTAGTAACAGATTAAACTTCTATTACGTTAAACACTTGAAAATATAAACAAGTGGCAAAGTGTTTTGCTGCCTTTGCAGAACACCATATGTATGTTCTTTCACTGCTCCAATTGTCATTGCTTGTGAAGGAAAATTCAAATGATTGGGTTTTGAAAACTCTCATAACCTAATTCCTTCAGACTTACAAAGTTACCAGTGTCCCCACTGACTCATAGTATCATCTCTGAAAGTAAAACAAACTCAGAAATTTTGTTGCCTCCGCTTCTTTGCATCCATCGCATCTAGGATAGGTTGCCTCTTTGCAGTGTACCTCTGGCGAAGCTCCTCAATTTCACGTTCCATCATAGGGTCCAAAGCCTTTAATCGCATCTGCAATTCTTCTAAACTCAGATTCTTTAACTGTAAAACAACCAATCAAACAAAAAAAACACACAAAAACAAGATTTAAAACTATTTATAACAAAAATGAAAACCACCACCTTTCATAATCCTTTAATTTACAGTTGCAGTAGTGTTGGGTTTTTTTGTTTTGGTGTTTTTTTTTTAATTATTTATTTTGCTTTGGGTTTTTTTTTTTTGTTTTTTAAACACACTTTGAGTGTATGCATACACATATATATAATTGTTTATATAACTAATAGCCTTAGTATGCTCCACAGTAAATAATTTAACAGCATATGAAAACACAAACACAAATGGTACATTTCATTAAAAAAAAATCACTTTGCAAACATTGCAAATAGATTGCAAATAAATACAGGGCTGGAGTTTAACTCATTAGGCTGAAAAAAAGCATGCCACAGTATATGCAATTATATTAATGTACATAAACTATATTGCTTAATCAAATACTTCTCACTGAACTTCAGTCTCTTCTAGAAGCCTGAAAAACAGGCAGCTGCTGTAAGCAACAGTCTGATGGATATTCAGAGGTACTTTCTGATAAGAATGACAAAGCACTTGTCTTCCTCAACAGACTGCTGCCAGAACTAGTCAAAGCAAATTGCCAACAGAGTGTGTAAATAATACATCAAATAATTTCCTGAATTCACAGGAGGGCGTTACCTTTGACCATGCTCTTTTTCTAAAGCTATTTTCTCACACATGTTAAACAGTTCATTACATTGCATTCATTAAGAGCGGTGGGTCATCTAACAGGTAAATCGCTTCCCTGGCTTGCTGGCTGCAGCAGAGAAGGGTTGGGGTCTCATCAGGTCCTGGGGCGCGCCGGGCACGCCTGCCCCACCTGCTCTTGCAGGGAGGGACCTGCATTTGAAATAGGTTCCTTTGGTTGGCTCATGTATTTTTTTCCTGATGGTGCCTTTCTGCATTTCTCTCGTCAGAATTGCCTATGTGCCAATTTTTTTTCACACTCAGTGAAGAGTATCAACAAATTTCAAATATCACAAATAATTTCATCCTAGGAAAGAGATAATCTATATTTTGTTTGCAAATATTCTGACATTGCAAACAAGCACACCACCTAACTCGAGGGGAGAAAACATTTTCTGAATCAACCTACTAATGAGTCAATACTTTGTTCATGAATCTAGGGCAGTCTTCCATCAACGCTGTCTGATCTATTTTCCCCTGAGGAATGAAATACTACTTTTGATCTTCATTTTTATCCGCATTGGAGGCATACAAATTAGCAACACATACTGCTACATGCAGTCCAAGCCCAGCGTTACGACTTCTACTAATAGACTACATTGTACAGAGTAAAGAAATAACTTAAAACTCGTAATAAAGAGGAAGCGCAGATCAGAAATTCATAGAAGAGCATATGGAAAAAGATGCACGTTTTCATGCAAGGTAATTTTAACACTAAGATTCCTAATGAAGATGAGAATTAAAGCCCAGATGTCAAAGTATCTTCCAGGACCAAAGATCCTTAGACCTCTACGAGCTTCAGAGACCTCAGATGTAGCTAATCAGTAACATCTGTCTCTCCCAAGGAAAGATGACACCTTTCATTTCTTGGGAAAGAGTTGCCTCCCGAGAAATTCAGTATCATCTAGTTTACTGTACTTCTCCCATTTGATATATGCAAGGAAGGACGCGGGAATCGTAATTCCTCAGTCACCAAGTCTTTTGCAGAAAAACACACTTCCATTTTCAGAAAAGGAAAAGTTTTTAAAAAAAAAACATTCTCTTTCATTTTTAGCCCATTGGTAAATGCAGCTGACACATTACAGACACTTCTCAGTGAAGATATTCTTTCTGGCAGAGATATTTGCAGTGTAATGCGAAGAGGCGACAGTGCTGATTCCCCTGTTTAACTGATCCCAATGCAGCATAGATGAGAGGAGCAATAAAACCATGTTTTTTAGCACGTGTAAGAGGAGAAACTATTTGGGGCTCCACAGACCAGCAAACGGACTAAGGAAGGCACCGTGAATAATCTCGTGTGTGAGCGTTTGGTGAGAACCATCACTGATGAAGTCCCCTACCAGCCTGCGCAGCCATTTATTCCCTCTCAGTCACCACTGTAGGCATCAGGCTTACAATGCACGGAATGCATGGAATAGACTCCAACTCATGCAACCACATAATTATTTTGCACTGAAAACCATTTTTTTATAAATTGTCAGAAAAGAATGTGACGAGTGAGTTTTTATTTAAATCTCTATCAAGAAACAGAGCCAGCAAACAGAATTAAATATTCTTTAAAGATCACAGACAGCTGGGCTGGAAATTAAAATATAAAGAGAATGAATTTTTAAATCCAGAGAATAGGAATCATTCAGAATGATCTCAGGCACACCACCCAGGGATCCAAGGAGCCTCAGTACTCATCTGTATGAATGGCTGATGCTCGGGACATTCAAAGGAAGTAGATGACAAAGCCCAGGGACACTAAGCAACTGAAAAAGAGTTATGAAGGTCTCATCTACCTGACATCAGATGCCGGACTAGGCAGGAATGGTCAGAGAGCTCTACGTACTACAGAAAACCACTTCAGCACGTCTAAAAGCCACAGTTGAGTCTAGGATGAGTATGTGCATCCTGCTGGACATACATGTCTCCTTGATAAACTTCAGAATACTTTTTCTAGACTTCTGTCTGTGCTACAGGTATCACCTACTGAAGCCCGAAGCCCGCAAAAGCCTAAATGCTGAATGCAACAGCAAATGTATCAAATGAGATGCACAGAAATAACTCGAACAAGGTATTTAATCATTCCCATCTAATTTATTCCCCTGCATAATACACATCTTGATTCAAATTCTTAAAGCAATAAAGTTCAGCACTCTCACTTGCAAACAGTTTGCAGTTCAAACAGATAATTTCCCATGTAGTTTGTTGTTGGAATTACTAGGGTTATCAGCGTTAATGGGAAAAGAGAGGAGAGCATTCAGCTGTGCAAGCTACGGGAATTCAAAAAGGTTTTAAGTTATATTTTGATAGGTTTTTAAAAGCTGTAAAACGTAGCAGTTTGGTAATCAGAATAGTATTTTTCTGACAATGACAGATAGTTCCATTTCTGCCACTCCAAACAACAGAATTAATCACGTCACTTCGGAGATCAGACACCCACAATCACACAACAGACAGCAACTAGTGTCAAGATGGGCCACCTCCAAGACAGAGGTCTTCAGCGAATGGAAGTTCTGGTAAAAGCATTTGCCTTCACTGGGACCCTTCATACCATCAGGTAATCACATAGGTTTGGGAAAGCAACACTCCAAATTCCAATCTACAATGCCACGAATCTATCAATTACATACAACAACATATAACACTCAGAAAGTGTGTGCATCTGTTTTACACACACATATAGTCTTTTGGAGCGGGTATGCATACTCAGTTTTCCAGTAGAAAAATTAGGTGTTTACAGAAAAAAAAACCTTTCCTCCTGAAAGGTGTATTTGTTAACCTAGTAACTAAAGAGAGTTACAATGTGTAAGGGAAGCAAGGAAAAAAACACCACCACCAAAACAAAACCATCTCCAGAGCCAGATAATATTGAATAATTGTATTTACAAGCTGACAGATTCTCCAGACACAGCTGCACCCAAAGAAACCCCGCTGAAATTTCCTACTCTGCTTTGCTGGAGCCAAGGAAATCAACTTTGCCTCTGAGGAGACCAGCTAGCATTCTCCCTGCGGGGCGAGCGCCCAGTGCTGCAAGCTGAGCTCTTGCCTCTGCCTTCTCCTCCCTGACACTGGGGGAAATCCCGGGGGAAGAAAGGCACTTGTGCACAAAGCAGCTCCATCAAGCCAAGCTGCCAGGGGCAGAAGATCCTTTCAGCAGCACCAGCTTGAGCTAGGACCGCCAGCACAGAATCAAGGCATAATTAACCTTTTAATTGAACTATAATTTTCAGTTATAATCTTCGGAAAAGGCAACCCCACCACACACTTAAGAGATCGGTAGTCTGGAAACCTACTGTACCTTATCTCAGACTTTTAGCAAATGGGACACCAATCGTTTACCTCCTCCTGGCTCATTTTTCAACTTCTTCGCAGTAGGGTTAGAGACCTTTCCAAGAAAGCCTCCAAGTAGAAATTAATAAGCGGCAGAACAGATTCAGAAGCTTTTCTTAAAGTGACCATCCATGCTAAGCTGGGATACAGCAAAAATCCAAGAGCTGGGGCAGCTCCAGACGTGAAGTGATCCAGTTGCGATCAGAGCACAGGTCAGAGCTACAAGCGCTCCGGAGACAGGAGCACTCCCCTTGTGCGAAGGTAGCGGGAACCATTGCTAATTAATCTGGGGTTTTAAGAAGCACTAATTAAGTTTTGGAGGTGAAGAAAAAATAAACCAGTGTTATCATGCAAGGTTGGTCAAATACAGCGCAGTTCAGCATTTCAAAAGAATATTTCCTATGCAGAAAACCTTCTTACTCTGGTCAATACCGGTTTCAGGTCAATGGCTTTTTTCACACGTCCTTGAGTAGTGACACACAAAGAACTCTTTCCTCACATACTGATGCAGCCATCTCCCAGAACCAAACTTCAGCAAGCGAAGTGCAACAGTTTTTAGTTTTTTGGTCTTTCAGTCTAACTTCTTGCATCCAGATGGACCAGCTTCACTTGGATCAGTTTTTTCAGCCAACCGAAGAATAATTACTTGCTGTTAATATTCCTGCCTGCAGGAGGACCCACACTGTACCTTCCATATTTTGTTCGCAACCCTGGTCAAATCATACTGATGAAAATTCAGACCAAAACTGGCACTTGGAAAATAAATATGCGTTCCTGCCTACAGACCCGAGTTCTAAAGCAATAAGCCGAGAAGGAGGGAGATAAAGTACAACCAAAAACGGACTCTCAGAAGTCATGAAGTCAAAGGGTGCAATGCAGATCACGACTACCGGCTTCCACCTGTGTCCGGCGCAGGAGTCAGGAGGAAGGACATCTTTCTGAGATGCTTGGTGGTGCTTGCAGTCCAT